CGGTGGTGACAACGAAGGTAAGGTGAGCAGTGACCGCCCACAGGCGCCGCTGGCAATGTCAGTAGTGCCTTTTTGTAGGGGGTGCACCACTGCGCTCAGGGGGTACACATGCACCCCCTATGCATTGCCAATGTCAGTACATATTGGCTCAGGCCCTAAATACACTAGGGGTGCCTACAGACATTAGGGCCCCGCTCTAGCTCATGGCACTTGACATAATGCTGAGGCCTGGCCCAGCTCCCCCAGTATCCAAGTTGGGCTCCATTTTCCCCCTTTCCCCTCAACTCTGGCCATTCAGAGCAACTGGGAGCTCCTTCCCCTTCCTTCTCCCTCCCTCCTGACAGTCCAGGTGGTGGGGTTGGGATGGCAGCACCAGCCTAGCCCTGCCCTGCCCCCATGTGAAAAAGTAATACTGGAGGGAACACCAGTTCCCTAAGGTGCTTTGCTTTAGAGTACATTAATGTAAGACCTCATTTGACTAGGGTTCATTTTTCATGTGATCAGCTATTTTAAAAGTGCTCTGTAGCTGTACAAGTGTACAAAAGTCACTTTTGTATGCACCCTAGTAGAAACAAATGAGATGCAAATGAAACTACTGTTCCTAATAATTAGGTGCTGAGTATCAGTTTACAATGACAGTACTGACATGAGATCTGACATTGGGTGGCTGAAATTCTATTAACATGAAGCCAACATATAAACTAGTAATTGGTATACCCTATGCAGCGTATCTAATGCAAGCATGAGATAGTAGCACATTTTTCAGAAACAATATTCCACCTTATGTAGCCCATTCAGTCTTTAGGTCCCCTTAATCTCTGAGCCCTTGTACACCATAAACTGTGCATTAGTCAACACTTATCTCGAAGCAAAAAAAATTATAATGGTTACAGCAAATGCTTAATTAAAATTAAAATCACAATGCTAACAAGGGTGATAGAATTTGGTCCTAATTATTTTTATTAAAAACCAGCATACTTAGCCTTCAATAAAAATTGGAAATTATTTAGTTGGGATGGGATTTTCAGATGTACCTAGGAAGAAAATCCCAAAAGGTAATTCAGCACTTCTTATACTCTGTCCCCACATGATTTAGAAGCATGAATGGGTGGATCTAGGATTTTGTAAAGGTGGCTACAGGAGCACCAACCACTGCTTCAGGAGTGGCTGAACCTCTGCTTCCAGTTTCTCCCCCCACCACGGGAACAGGCAGACCACGCCACAGGAGCAGCACCCAAGGACTTTTTTTAAGTCCCCTAATCAGGTAAGAATCTCTCCTCCCCCTCACTTGTCACCCCTCCCCTTCCCTTTTGTGCTCAGCAGCACATCTCCCCTCCCCTCTCATTTCCCCCTCCCGTCTGCCATTGCCACTGCCTCTAGTTTCTTCATGCCCTGCTCCAGGTAAGCTTTGCAGGGAAGTGGGCTCAGCTGGAGCCAGTGGCAGTGGTGGGAGGGGGAGAGGGAAATGGGAAAGGAAGCTGAGCCAGGAGGGAAAGGGAAAGAAGGGCATGCTGAGACGGGTGGGATTCTTACCTGCTTCAAAGATTTTAAAAAGAGTCCTCAGTTGCTACTCCCGCAGTGTGGTCTAAAAGCGGAGTGGGGGGTGCAACTGTGGCACTACACTCCCTCTGAATTAGTCCTGGAAGCGTGTCCTACTGACTTTCAATAGAACTAGTACTTCTCTGTTAACCTTTAGGCTAGGAACAGACATTCAAAAAGCCTGAGCCTGAACTGATTCAACCTTTGCAGGTTAGTCTAACCTGGATAGGCTGAACCAGTTTCCAACCATACAGACAATCTCTGTGGACTGGGAAAATTCAGGCATGTGCCTGAGTCAGAGGTGATGCGTAGGAGGTTCACGCAGGTGCACATGCCTGAGAATGGCAGTGCACCCCCCAAAAAAGGTACCACTGACACTGTTGGTGGCACCTGCGGGCGGTCGCCACTCACCACACTGACACTGACACCGCTGGCAGCATCTGCAGGCGGTCCACGATCCCTGCTGCTACTGCCAGCACTGCTGGCGGTGTCTGAAGGTGGTCACCAACCCCTGGTCAGTGCTTGCCACCACCACCCCCCGCCGCCGACAGCGCCAGCAGTGTTTGCAGGAGCTCCCCCACTTACCGTCACCATGTTCCCACTGCCACTGCCACACTCCTGCCACTGCCGTGCCCCCCCAGCCACCAGGGGTATGCATCATTCATGCCTGCAGTAGCTCAGGCTGGAATCCAGGGGGTGCTAGAGCAGCCCTCCCTGCCTTTCCACAGAGCTAAACTGAGGGGCCATGGTCAGGCCCCAGCAGGACTCTGATTAGGGAAGGGTGTGAACCCCCACCCTGCCTGTAGTCCCAGGCTTTTCCCTGCTCACTGCTCAAGGGTTGGGGGTGTTGCCAGCCTGCAGCCCTGGGCTGGCACTCTGAGGCAAGGGGTGGGGTGTGCAGTGCATGCATCTGTTGATGATATGGAGCTTTTCACTCTCCCTCCCTGCTTCTGTATACTGTTGGCAGCAAACTGAGGCAAACAAGCTGAGGGGGAGCTGATAAAAGTGTTGATCACCCTTATTTCAGTGTTTATTGCCCTATTAAGAAAAAATCAGAGAGACATTACCTGTTGATAGTCTGTTGATTCCGCACAGACCCAGCATGTGGTCTGTTGGCTAATACACAGACACCTCAGCAAAGGCAGAAGGGACAGGGGAATTTGTGCTTAGTAGAGTGGTGAGGAGAAGGGAGGGAGGGGAGCAAACAACTCTTCTTAAACTTTTCCAAGGCAAGACATTAAGCTACCTGTTGATTAGCTCCAAAAAGCTTGTCTGCCTTTGTCTCTCCCACAGCAGGGACTGTAGCCAGCATGTGGTCTGATAGCTAATCTGAAGGTGTCTGCTAAAGCAGAGGGGCAAGGGGGAATAATCCCTGTTTAGCACGGAGAAGCCAGGCAGATGCAGAAGGGAAGGGCCAGCACTGATGTGGAGCAGAGAGCCCTGCCCAGCCCAGAGACTATGCTGGGATGCTGGGGGTGTCTGATTTCTCTTAAACTCAGAAGGGGTCTGGAACAGACATTGCATAAACCAGTTTGAGCCAAATCATTTAACTCTGATACTACATTCAACCAGCTTTATCTCAAATTGGTTTCAGCCATTTTCAACCTGGTTTATGTGCACTAAACATCTGTTCTGTTACCAGTTTAAACCAGTTTCTGATTGCTTAAACCAGTTTATATGTAATGTCTGTCCCTAGCCTTAATGGGAATCATTCCTAAATTACAGACATGTTTTTGAAAATACTACAATGATTTTTTAAATTGGCTATTATGAGTTTGGTTTGGTTTCTTTTCCAGCAAGTTGGCCCAGATAATTTATTACCCTTTATGTTTTCAAATTATGTTTGACAGCTGTTTTATGTTTTGTACTTGCTATTTACAGAACTATGCAAACCTTATTCCTGGAGCTACTGTTGGACAACTTAAGGAAGATTCTGGCAATATTCTCCAGTTGATCATTGGTGCATATAAGGTAAGATATTTATAACCTACTTATGTTTTTCATATCTGTGGTTTTCAAAGATTAAACTGAAATTAAATGGAAACAAATACTTTCTATTTTTTTTCTACATTGTGTACAAAAACAGAAGTCATTGTTTGCAGATGCCAAGCAATACCAAAAAGCCTTCCTTCTGTTGGGAAAGCTGAAAAAAGCACAAAAGATTAAATATTATTTGGTTATGCTATACACCACTGTTTTGCAGCAATATCTAAAACAAAGCACTACTTATTAATGTTCTTCTCTGCTTTAGATACTTGGCCCTATCCTTGTAAGACTATAATAAAGTTTTTATAGGACAGAATACATACAGAAAAAGAAGATTTGAATGTGTTTGCTTAGCTAATGCAAGAAAATGCTCCAGGGACAACTGGGACAAAAAATGGTGTGCCTTTCAGCAATTTGTTTATAAAATTATCTTAACTCTTTTAAGACAAGGTTATGTCTTTGGACACTTTTATGGGAGTACATTTATAGGATTTTCTTTCTTTGCTTCATCTCTTTATTACAATTGTGTATCCTACCAATTGCTACATTTAAAAAAAATTGTGATTCTTTCCAATTTTTTCTCATTTGTCTATTTCTTATTATTATATACATTGGAAAGAAACGTCACTAATATGTTTAAAAGTTATTTTGGATCAGAGGATGAAAGTGAATTAAAATGAATTATATTTTAAGTATAATTAATTCTAATGGACCTTACCTTAAGAGTTTCATATGAGTTATATGTACCAGCAGATTTTCCATAATGCAGAAGAATTAATCTTGACAAGCTGCTTACTTAAATAAATCTGGGGTGAAATCCTCTTTCCATTGAAATCAATAGCAAAGTTCTCTATGGAGCCAGGATTTCATCTCTGGAGTCCAACACAGCATTAATTATAAATGTGTTTTGTTAGGGTTAAGTGAGGACGGAATGTTAAGGCATAGGCAATGGTACACACCTTCAAGCAAAGGCAAATCATGTTGTCATCAAATGAACAATAAAAAAAGCAAAATATATAATGCCACATCGTGACGTACTGTGACAATGGATTGCTCTGCAGTGCTGTGCTCTCAGGCAGTTTCGTCATGATTTGCCACCCTCCTAGTTTCAGTAACTAGGAAAAAGTTAATAATTTTTCCTTCCTTCATTCCCTTTATGCTTGGGAAGAAATAAATCCCTGCTGTTAGCCTCAATCTCTTGAATGTAGGTTCAATTTTTACTTGAGAAATGAGTGAGGCTGGGAAATGCCTTTAGGCTGCTGTCTTTCTATGAGGTCTGTCTGCTGGGCACTCCAGAAAGAGTGGATGATAAGGGGAATACAATGCTCCAGTGACCAGGATGCCATTTATTCTGTTATTCAGGCGGAGAGTGAACAGGATGTCCATACAAGTCACATGTACGTCTTTGAGCGCCACATACATTTCAAGGGGCCCACGCTCTGAATCCCTTACATTTAACTTGGCACACATTCAGTATTTACTTGACCTTGGTATGTCAACATTAAAGGTTAATAAACCTACTAGTTCATGTTTGAAATTCTTTCAGGCAGGAAAAACAAGTCAACCTGAACACTGAAGAAAATCCCCCAACCACCTCATGTTTTGAGCTCCTTAAATTATGAATTATTTAAGTAAAAATAAAGTAAAGTATTGTTGAGTTTAAAAGCTGTCTCATTTCCTTATATTCAGTAAGCTAGAAAAGAGATGAAATGGCAGGATAGACTTGTGGTTACAATTGCTGAAGTGTGGTGGTAGGACAGTTAGGGTATTACAGAAGTGATCTGTGCACATTTTACAGTGCTGTAATTTAAAGCACTTTTAATAACACTATAAAGTTACAGCACTCTTAAACATGACAGAACTGCAGTATTGGGGGGAGAGGGGGGGTGGCCTCTGAGCCTCCCTGTACTTTTCAGGCTAGGAAGCAGAGAGCTCCACAGCCCCCTGGGGCTTCTCCACTTCTCTGGAAATTTGACCAACATACAGAAGTTATTTAAAGTGTTGTAGGTTGCAAATGTGCTGTAAAATACAGAGTTTCAAATGTAATACTTCATTTAACAAGGATTCATTTAAAGTGCTGTACTCATTTTTAAAGTGCTGTAAAGCCAAGCACTTCTGTTAAGTCACAGCAATAAAGCACTTTAAAGCAACTTGTGTACCCTTAGGTATTATCTAAAGACACAACTTAAAGCCCCATTTCAGACTTGTACTGAAGGCTGCCCTGTAATAGGTTCCCAGCCTTCTGATGGCCTTAAGGCCCTCTAGTCACTCCATTTATTCAGACTCTTGCTCCTGTCATGTCTTTTCCCTTATCTGACAACTTATACAAATCAGAGCAACCTTCCTAGGCTCCTTCTCTCCAGAAGGAGTTTTACCAGACTCCAATCATCCTCACACAAATTGTCTCTCGACAGCTTGCTCTCACATCCGGGAACTTTTAAAGCTTCCAGTGGGAGACTCCCTCATTAGCAGAATGCCCCACAGCTGATTTTCCTTAACAGGACTGACTGTCTCTTCTAAAGGAGACAAAGCACCCTATTACATACCTATAGTCAGGCCACCTGTAAATGAGTAACTGGTCCCTCAGGCTGAGGAGTTTTAGAATAGATGTGACTCACTTTATGAGTACTGGCTGCAGAAACAGGTGTGTCTTAGAATCATGAAGAAGTACAGCTTGAAAAGGTATCAGAGGGTTATCTAGTCCAGTCTCCTGCTCAAGTTAAAATCATCCATGTATAAACTATTCCAGACAAGTGTTTGTCTAACTCTTAAAAACTTCCAAAGATGGAGTTTCTACAACCTTCCTAGTCATGTGTTTGAATGCTTACACTCACAGTGAGAACAATCTTCCTAATATTCAACCTAAATTTTCCTTGTTACAATTGAAGACCATTACTCTTGGTCACTAGCCACTTTATAACCACCCTTAGGTATTTCAAGACTCTTACTGAATCCCTGCTTAGTCTTCTCTTCCCCAGACTAAATAACCTGATTTCTTTCAACATTTTCCATGATCCTATGGGTTAACTCTGGTAGACTTTACTTATAACTTCTATGCTTAAAATCATGACTGAAACTCAGAAAATCTAAGATCTAGTTCTAACACTGCCACAAACTTTCTCTGTTCCCTTCAGTGCTGGGTGTCAGCTTCTCAGTCTGTAAATGGTGCTGGTAGTGGTAGTACTATTTGTAGTAATAATAATTATATTTACTCACTTCAAAGTATTGTGTTAAGTTAATCTTTTTCAAGTGCTTTAAGTTCCTTTTATGAAAGAGATGCTATACAGAACTTAAGGCTTATTCATGTCATTTACAGATACATTGTTATCTAAAATCTTCAGGGGAAGTAAGCAAAATAGGAAGCTCTCTGTACTGTCAAAATATTTGTTAGAAGATGGTCTCATGCTCTCCCAAGTATGATTCATAGACTCCAGTAAGCATGTTGCTGCCTGCTTTAACAAAGGTTAAATTCTGTACCAGCTTTGTAACAAAGGATCAGTTTAAATTTCATTAGAACTGAAATCAAGCCCACTGATTACCAACTTATTTCAGTGTTCTTAAAAACACAGACGATTCCACTTTTTTCAGCCGGCAAATCCTTTTTGGATGACAGGGAAATCAAGACTGAAGGAATAATATTTCAAATAGGAGGGCAGATACTGGAGAGACTGGCAAGTGCTCAGGTTTGCAACCCTACTTTGCATCCTTTGATTTAGGAGAACTTTGAAGTAAAGCCTCACTGAACTGAGAAGCCAAATTGTTCTCAGTTCTATCCATGCAACTCATTAGATCAGAATCTTCACCTGAAATCCTGTGGCTCATTCAGATGTAGCAGAGCAACTTAAGCCAGAGTCTAGATCCTCTTTTAGCTGAAGGTGATATGTATTTCAATCAGAAAACACTTCCCATATAGAAAATGGAGAGGTGATGATAAAAACTCATTGGGAACACTTACCCAGAAGGCTAATGAGTTTATGCACAGCAACAATTCATCTGTGCTTACAATTCTATTTTAATGTTAAATAGTTGAGATTTCAGTGCAGTACGGATTCTCAGTTACAGCCTTTGTCCGAAACCAGCTGGCAAAATTGAGAATTGAAAAAGCAAACTACTTGGTGATATATACTATAACTTCAGTATTGTGAATTTTCTGGAATATGCATCTTTGCAATATTTGGTGCTTTTGTTGGAGTCTCAGGTGCTGTGCTCAGGTTACTGCCTGACATTCTCAGGTTTTTTGTTTGTTGATTTTTTTTAAGTTAGCTTCCAGCCTTCATGCCTACAGAGAAAACTTTGAAAATGTAACTCCTGAACATTCCAGCCACAAGACAAATATAAAACAATGCCAACATTTATTATATTTTATATTTTAAAGCCAATCTTGTACTGATCTAGGCTTGGATGCATGATATTTAAGTACCAGAAGTTGGCAGTATTTTAACTTACTCCCAGAGATGAGTCCTTTCCCCCTCCTCTAGAAGGACATGGAACCTTTCCAGTAATAGAGGGTTCCCCTGAACAGAGGGGGCAGGATTTGGGGTGCTACATGAAGACTGCACATCTCTGAAGCTAAAGAACCGTTTTCTGAGAAGGGCTTCTTTATGCTTTCTTAAAAGAGGAATCTGGAATTTCTGTTTCAGAAGGAGGTGCAGGTGGCAGAGTAGTATCCACAAAGCAGTTGCATAAACAATAAAGAGAGGACTACACCACATCCAATTTGAGTCCTAGTATACAGCTTTGCTGCTCAGACTGTGTGCTAGAGAGTGGATTTGAGCCTAAGTGATATTGTAGCTAGCATGTGTATTGCTGCCCCTTAATTAATCAAGGCTTTTCATCAAGGTTTCAAGTGAAAAGATGCAATTAAAATAAGTAGAAATAACTGATGTAGAAACAATCCTCTTAGGAGTAAGGTATATATACAAATGGGGCTGGTACATTAGCCATTGAAGTGTGTATGTTAGCTTCAGTGGCGCGCACACATGCACGCACGCCCCCTCAGTATCAGCTGGTGTCTTCTGGATCTAGTCCTGCAGACCTTTACTGAGATAAGTCATTCCACTAACTCTTTTAGGATGACTCACCTGAGTAATGTTGAAGAATCACACCCAGGTTAACTGAGATGTGGTAAACATTTTCCAGAGTGACTAAGGTATGTGCAGATCACATTCAAAGTTAGTAAGACTTTTGTTCCTGAATCTCCCAGGCACTTTTGAAAAAGTCCCATTACATGCATCAAAGTCCATTTGAGTCAGTTGAAACTTTCCTATAATCTTCAGCAGATTTTGGATCAAATCCTAAATGCATTGTTGAAAGCTCTATATAGAAGTATTTTAATGAAGACTTTAATATAAAAGCCTAAGCACAAGGGAACGCAAGGAGTAACTTGAACAGCTTATTTCACTTAAGAAATAAGAACTCAATTTCTGGTATTATTGAATGCATTTTCAAAAATAAGCAGGAGCTCACAAACCAAAAGAGTTTCCATCTGGAGCAAAAAAGAAAACAGGAAGGAGGAGAGACTTAATTTATACAACTGAGTGAGCCAGAGTCAGAAGATTAGAGTCTGGCTCTTGCATTAGAAAAATGGGGCCAAATCCTGGAGTGCTCTCACAGTTCTTATTCAAGCAAAATGGAAAACAGTGACTGTCAGAGCTAAAGACTCTAAGATTTGGCCCTCTGAATATAGGTAAACAGGGAAACAATATGCTAAACAGGGAAAGCTACAACTTGATCCCAGAATTAAACCTACAGCATGGAGCAGAATAATCAGGAAGACAACTTAGAGCAGGGCTGTCCCACTTCTAAGTGGCTGGAGGCCAGGCACCCTGTGGGCCTCAACAGTAGGGGCCATGTGCCCTGTGGAACCTCCCTCTTTCCTCCCCCACTGCACCATGCACTTGTGAGCGCTTTTCCCTCCATACAGGCTGTAGCACCATGTGCTCATGCCATATCCTACCGAGCCCCACACTGTGTGCCTGGCCCCCTCACTGCTGCACCACATGCTCATGCCCACACAGACCCTTGCTTTCTGCTGTCCCGTAAGGGCACTCCCCATCCCACTGCTGCCCAAGGCATCCTCACAGGCCCTCCCTCCCACTGCCAGCATTGCTTCCCTGCATGTCCCCAGGCTCACCCTGAGCTCCCCCAGCTGTACTGTGCTACACTGCCTCATCCCCTGGGACGGGTAGGCAGCAAAAGCTGAAGGAGGAAGGGGGAACCTGAAACAATGGGGAGAGTGGTGGCTATGTAGGAGCCCAGGATCCAGAACTCAATCCCTCACAGGCCAGATGTAGCCCCCAAGCCACCAGTTGTACAGCCCTGACTTGGAGCACCACATCCATTCCTAGGCAAACACAGGAAATATCAGATATTGATCTGATGCTGCAGCTGATTCTTGCCTGAAGTCCAAAGCTGTTTGCACTTCTTTGCTCAATTTCTAATTTTTCTTGCAAAAGAAAAGTACCCAAATGATGAATTATTTAGTGCAAAGCTAAAGGGAAGCATTTCAATATATGCTACAGATGCAGAATGTCAGCAGTGTTTGGCCATCTTACCGATCACATTCTTTTCTTTAAGGAGCTACGATCTGAAGTGGAGCTGGAGGCATTTGGTGACACAGAAGGACTCAATCTCTCTTTTGCAGCTCTCTGTAACAATGGTACCACTTTTTCAAACCAGAGGAAATGTTCTCATATAAAAGTAGGGGAGACAGTAAGTAAATAACAGAGTTTCAAATGACATTCATTCAAGTAATGTTGAGAGAGATTTTAGAACCCCAAAGTAGAAAAATTACTTCCTTTATTTAATAATTTCCCTCTAAACCAAAAAGTATTAGATCATACCTAATCAATTCTTGTCCTGTTTTGCCCAGAGTATTTCCAGTATTTCATATGCTACAGCTTCAAACAGTTAATATATTTTCTTTTTCAGGTCTCCTTCAATATGACTGTGAGTCTACCTACCTGTGAGAAAAATAGGAGACATATTGTAATAAAGCCGGTGGGTCTGAGTGATGCCTTGGAAATTGATATTCATCCAGAATGCAGCTGTAACTGTCAGCAGGAGGCTGAGATGAACAGTTCCAAATGCAGTGAAGGGAAGGGTTCTTATGAGTGTGGGATGTGCGTCTGCAACCCTGGCTACATGGGTCCTCACTGTGAATGTGATGAAAACTCCCTGAGCACAAGCTTGTGCAAAGGCTCTCCAGAGCAAGCCTCCTGCAGCGGGAGAGGTGACTGCTACTGCGGGCAGTGTATTTGTCACCTCTCAATGTATGGAAATATTTATGGGCCGTACTGTGAATGTGATGATTTCTCTTGTGTGAGATTTAAAGGACTGCAATGTGGAGGTAGGTTCCCTCTTAAACTATTTCTAAAATCCACTTTGTAACCATTAATAATGTATAGACTTATGTCTGGATGTAAGCCTATGGGTCTATACAGTATAACTTAATGAATCCACCATGCTCGGGACCGAGCATCTGCCAGAAATTTGAAACTGGACCAGCAGCCGCACACAGAGCGGTGGCCTGGGGTGGTGGATGCCAGCAGCAGCCGACACATGCAAGCTTCCCCCTCTGCTGCTCCGGGACCAGCCGCCACTACTCCCCGATGTAGTGTATTTTTAAAAAGTGCCGGATTTTCAAGAATTCAGAATTTTTGATATCCAGATTTATGAGGTTATACTGTATTATTAAAATGCCTTAATTTTAATCATTTTTGTATAAAGTAGAGAAAAGTACGCCTATATCCTCTGAACAACTTCCAACAGTTTGACACTTGTGGTACTGAATCTCCTAAAATAATAAGATCTATAATTATAACAAAATAAATATTTAACAAATAATGCAAAAGAGCTTTAAAATTAGAAACCTTGCACCCGTTCCTCAGCTAGTGTAAGTTGGCATCATTTCATTGGGACCATCAATTTCCACCCACTCAAAATCTGTCCCATTGTTCCTAATATTTCTAAATATTTTGGTCCACCTTCTTAGTGAGTGTTGATCATTTTGGCTCTATTGAAGTATAGGAAGCTCTGTTGACCTTCACTTTCTGGTGAGCCGGTCCCAAATTATAAGAATTCAATGTTAAATAATTATGAAAGTATGCCCTTCTTAATCTCCATAAGCCTGGTTTTGACAAATAAGATTTTACACCAGTAACCCTAATTATCTCAATTGGAATTGTTCTTAGTTTGCATGAATTTTACTAAAATCAGAATTGTAATCTTTACCATCTTAATCTAGGCTGAATTCTGCTTTGCTCATCATTGCAAAGTAGGAATAACTCCACTGAAAACAAAGGGAATGACATTCAACTTGTAGGAAACTGGAATGGGATGGTAGTGAATCAGACAGTCATTAGTTATTCTGGTGTACATAAAAGGATATTTGGACCTATGAGTATTGATTTTGATCTCCCCATGGAGAAAACTCTAATGGAGTCTCCATTCAAATGAATGGACTTGCACTGTTTTGCAACTAGTCTAAGTGAGATTCAAAGTCTTTGGGTGCCTATAGGGGTACTTGTTCACATTCTAATTAGAGTATGATTCACATTCTAATTAGAGTTAGAGTAGACGCTACTTAGAATCTAATTGAATCTGCTCTGCATTCTAATTAGAACACTCCAGCATGGCCTCATTATCATGTGTATAAGCCCCCATGGGCACGTCCAAATGAGCCTGCACGTGCCTCTTGCTGCATCTCAAAGCAGTTTGAGACATGGCAGGAGACACACTGAGAACCAAAAAATGTTCAGCGCAGGCTCAAAATTAGATACCTGAATATCCAAATATCAAACCCCCTCTGCATTCTAATTAGAACACTCCAGCATGGCCTCATTATCATGTGTATAAGCCCCCATGGGCACGTCCAAATGAGCCTGCACGTGCCTCTTGCTGCATCTCAAAGCAGTTTGAGACATGGCAGGAGACACACTGAGAACCAAAAAATGTTCAGCGCAGGCTCAAAATTAGATACCTGAATATCCAAATATCAAACCCCACCTCCTCCCCCCCCGGCTGCAGTGACCTGGCCCGGGCTCCATTCCAGGTAAGTAGGGTTAGGGGGGTGGGGGGGGATTGTGGAGGGGGGTATCTTGGGAGGGGTGAGTCACCCCCTACCCTCCCGCAGGGCCCACATTCCCCTCCCCCCCGCACAGCCCACAGCTCACCCACAGCAGCAGCAGCCATTGGGGTGCTCAGGGCCTCCTGGCACAGCCCTCCCAAGCAACATAGCACAGAGCAGTGCGGCTCAGCCTTGGCTGCCTGGCACCTGGCACTGCCTGTGCCACATTGTGCGGGCCTGGCCCAGCTCAGCACATCACCGCGCACCTGCAGGCAGCTACGGACCACTTGGGCTAAAACCCAGGGCCCCATGCCGCTCACAGGGACTGCCTGTCATGCTGGGTTAGGTCCTGTGTGCATGGGCCCCATGCACCATCAGGTTAAGCTGCTTCCAGGCATATAGAACTCGGTCTGGCATGACAGGTGGTCCCTGTGAACGGCATAGGGCCCTGGGTGACAGCTTGAGTGTCCTGGAGCTGCCCAAAGGCACATGGCACCGTGCTGAGCCAGGCCAGGGCAGTCCCATGCAATATGGCACAGGCAGCACCGGGTGCCAGGCAGCCGGGGGGGAGCCACACTGCCCCATGCTGCACAGGGGGGCTGCTCCAGGAGGCCCTGAGTGCCCTGATGGCTGCTACCGAGTAGTCGGGTGATCATGGGGGGGGGGGATGTGGGCCCTGCAGGGGAGGGCTGTGGGCCTGCAGGGGGTGTCAATCCATGTATTGTGTGGAGGGGACAGTGCCCTGTGGAGAGGCAAGGGATCCACCCCTCCTGAGCAGTCCCTCCATGCTCACAGTCCCCACATAATAACCCCACACCCCCCCACATCCCCTACACCCCCC